CCATAAGGAACAAAGATAATCATAAGCACATGATATGTAAAGTATTTAAAATATTCGCAAACCTAAGACTTTAAACAAACAGATTTTTATTTAAAGTTTCATTCAATACTGTAAGAGTTGTGATAAACACTACATTCATAGTTTGATTAGTGAATTGTTATAATAGTGTAAATTATTTTGTTCATTTAATTGTTATAAAATGTTTTAAAAAAGACAATTATTTGATTTAAAGAATAAATATAATCAATTACAAACATTGAAAGACTTGATAAACATTTTCAAATATTAGTCAAAAATAAGACATTTTTACTCAAACCTCCCTTAGAGGAACCCTCCCTATAGGGAATACTTTTGCCGTGCAACTGGCCGTTCCCTATGGAGAAGTTGCACTGTATAAATAATCTGGTTAATTTGCGCAAATACAGTTCATACCTGGAACACGAATTTTTATTATGGTAAAATGTTGCTTGTTAATTGTGTGTCTGGCTGTGTACATTTTCCCATCGTGATATTCACCAAGACAATCAATTTGCTTGAAATTGATTTCATTCAGATGCTTTATGGCCGTTTTATCTAGTTATGCGATTAAATTACTTATTAAATTATATAATTATAACTGGATATAAAATTCACCATGCTCAGATCTTGCGATAATACAATAGGGTTTGCGAGCCATATATGTCCGATAAAGCATCGGTTGTTTGCTATTTATAACCGTTTCAAATACTGTGCGATTATTGCGATTAATTGCCGGTCGAATTGGTAAAGCGTCTAGTTTTCGGGAAATGTCCGCACATTCCGGTCTCTGTCGCCAATCCTGGGGTCCATACACTGAATACGAGCTGATTGTCATCGATATAAACAGTTTATTTATCTCGATCAGCCAATTATGCATATATTTATTAGTGTAGTTAATTTCCGGATCAGGCCTTTAGAAAATGGAGTATCAGTAGATTCAAAAAATTTTCTAGATCAATTTACTTGAATTTTATATACTAACCTGCCATCAATAATGTCATCCCTATCCAAACCAAACAGTGCTGCGCCTATAAGTGCCAGACTATACACATCTACCAAATAATTATAACAGCCGGTCTGTACTTCGGGCGCCTGATAGCGGACATTACCCAAATCATCCGTATGTCTAACACAGGCAGACATCGCTATGGCATCCGTGTCCACTGCGCCCACACCCGGCGGTACAAACTTGGCCAAACCAAAATCACCAAGCTTAACATAGCGTTTTTTGTAGGTATAATCCATGGCGATTAGCACGTTATCCGGCTTAAGATCCCGGTGCCACACGTGACACCCGTGTAGATACTCGACACAGTCGACCAACTGTTTGAACACATCGTACGCCAGATAGTAAGNAAGCTTAATATAACGTTTCTTGTAGGTATAATCCATGGCGATTAGCACGTTATCCGGCTTAAGATCCCGGTGCCACACGTGACACCCGTGTAGATACTCGACACAGTCGACCAACTGTTTGAACACATCGTACGCCAGATAGTAAGCAAACCGACGATCGATTGTATCGTGTTGTGCGCTGTAGTGTCGGTGCCGGCGCCGCATTTTCTGAACATACTCGGTCAAACTCTGGGCGCACAGCTCCATCTGAATGTGCATGGTGCTATATTCAAGCCACGCCCACTGGTAGTCGCACACGTATTTTGACCGCACGATTGTCAGTATTCTAGATTCACGGAGCACTTGTTGCCGATCCTTTTGTCGCAACACTATTATATACATTATATAGTAATAAATTATTACTAATAATTGCCTAGTTCAAATTATTGTTTAATTAAATAAGGTTATAAAACTTACATGATAGTCGGCACTTCTTTACAGCATACAGTTGTTTATTATTCCTGTTGCGGACTTTATATACCGATCCGTAACCGCCCGTTCCGATAGTGCCCAGAATATCAAACATGGTCATATTGTGTGATTCACTAATTGCTCCAGCTAAACAACATAAGTGGAAATGTAAATTATAAATAAATAGCAATAATAATGCTAAACAATTTCATTAATTTTATTACCACTAAATTGTGATGATCTGACCAGCTGGGTAATTTTATTAACACACATAGTATTTAATGTACGCTGCCATTTATTAATATAATAATCATCAAACGTGGTAAAAATTGTTTCAACAATTATTTTATGGCCAATTTCATATACAGTGTGACCAGAGTTGGCTGCCTTTATGCTACCCACTTGAACGATCTGAGTAAAAATGGCATTGTTTATAAGTTTCATTTGGCAAACGTGATAATCGTAAAAATAAATATGACCATCACGAGTTAATATAACAATATTGTTAACGTTTGTTGCGCAAATTTGTTGAACATTAAGTACGTTCGCCAATAATTCGGGACAACTAATATCATGGCCAATTTTCTTAGAAATAGTATCGTTGCCCCAAATAAACACCCTGTAGTCGCTGGTTATGGCCAGCGAACAGCCGTCACAACATATAATATCGGTAATTGTAGTGTTAGTATGGGTGGGAAAGTGGACCTCACGGGGCGATAGTGGGACAGCATTTGCCCCGGTATTACAGCCCCATTCAAACACCCGGCCATTACAGGTGAGGGCCAACGCCGAGTACTGATAGCAATTAATTTTGCTTATGGTTAGATTATTTTTGCTAAAAAAGTCAACTTCACCAGGTGGATTGCAATCGACACTGGGAGTATCCCTGGCCAATAGTCCCCGAGTGTTATCACCCCAACTGTACACCCGGTCCCGATCCCGGCTCACAGCCGTCACAAACTCGTGTCCGGCGCCAAAATACTGGATCTGTTTCAGTGATAATTCCGGTATTTCTTCGGGTGAGTCGCCGGTGACAGACCTGTCGTGGCCTAACCCGAGTACGCCTTTCCAGTTACGGCCCAAACCGTACACCCGATCCCCGGCCGTCACAAACAGTACATTAGTTTTAGACCAATCGTTGAACGCGTATAAGAAAGTAATGTTTTGTTTAATATTTTGTGGTATTTGTTGACATATTTCTATGCTCTCCAATACTGTAGACATTTTTTATGTGAGCTTATTATATCACAAATTTCAACATGATGGCTTTAAATATAAACTTAGTTTACTGTAGAAAGTTCACTAATTAATACCAATTTATTTTATTAGTTTAGCATAAAATATTAATTATATAACATATAATCTATTATTTAATACTAATCAATAAAAGGCTATTTACATTTAAAATTACATTTGCAGTACATTTAAAAACATGTTTTAAAAAACAGACATGGGTGTATGACTATAACAATAAACGTAACTTGGTTACCATAATTAATACGTATTACTTTAAGATAACCTTGATTATATAATTCAAATAATTTTTTATTATGAATAACATGCATAATGATAAAAATATTAGATACCTTACAAAAATTACTTATAAATAAAACTCTATAGTATAGAGTCTATACAAACACTTACTGGGATATTATTTTGAAAAATAATTAGCTTTATTTAAATAATTATAATCAAGACTCTTGATTCAAGAGTGTTTAAATCTCTGCATTATGCATCACCATACTGTTTACCACCACTTGGCGTAAATTTTATAGAATCATGAGCATTTATTTTATTACAATGAAGTTATTTATGAATATTTATTGAATAATGTTGGAGAATTTATACTTAAATTTTATTACAGGTAATAATATACAAATTTATGGCATGCACATAAATTTTACCATGATTCATACAATTCTTTAAATTTCTCCAACACTATTCTATAAATATTTATACTATAAATATTGAGATATTGTTACAAATTACTGAATTAATTATAAATATAATTGAAAGGTTAGGGCCAGTCAAATACTGCTCAACGGACAACGCAAATCTAGCCCCTGGGTTATGAATGAAAAATTGATAGACAAAATTAGCACAAAAATTTAACTTTATTGAAAGACCTCTCAAACCAGAATACCCAAAAAGTCTTACAAAACATTCCTAGTTTTAGGAAAACATATGGGAAATGTGAACATATTTTTTCATTAGTTAACAAAAAATTTAATTAAATAAAAACATTAATTCAATAAAAAAAGTTCTAGAAAAATATCGAATAAGTTTACAATTATTTCATTAAATATTACAAGAAAAACATTTTGAATTAAATATCAAATAATTAATTAAACTGGAAATACTCTAAACAACATATAATACAGGAAATTAACATCACAACAATTTATAAAACATTAAAGTAACATAAAACAATATTATTATTATAATATGTGTGACAAAAATTAACAAGGGGCAAAACTAATTATAATCATAATTGAGGAAAAAATCTCGGCCTATGTCTTATTCACTATTGTTGGGACTAGTAATGCTCATTTCTTTTGTATGAACTCAAACCGCTCGAACAGTCTCGCAATCCCAAGCGTCTCACATAGACCGCCTGAACAGCCTTATTTTGCCCTTTCCTCTCAATTATAATTATAACACCAAAGTTTTACATCTAACAAGTATTTAAACCCAATATATAACATTAATTAATAATACGTTAGGTAAATAAACAGGGGAACTCTTTCATAATGCTATTAAAAAAAAAATATTCGGTATGAAATTTTTTTAAAACATTTGTTTAAGACATTTAGTTGTGTTGACAGTATTATTGCTATTATCTGTTATCACATATTATTCAAGTCTTAATATTATTTTCACCACTAATTATAACCCCGTTTAGTCTTACAATATAAGTGACATGTATTTAACATGCGAGGCTTCTGGAGGTAGCTCGGCTCCGGGTGATAATAGCCTCACGGGGTGTTATTGAGTGATCGACTCGGGGATCACAAACATAGATAATACAAACTGTTGCAGTGGTTGAGTTCCTCGGGGCCTCAGGCCAATCCCACGGCGCGTCTGAAGCCTTCACGGCGGTCACTACGCGTGTCTCACCTCCCAGGCCACCGTCTGTGGACCAATAGTAAACTCGCGGATCACTTGCGGGTGATTCGCGAAATAATAGACGACACGGCGTTTTGACTGAAATAACTTTATTGTGTATTGTTTGACGGGTGGGGAGGAACTGAATGTTCAGAGCAGACAGTCCTTACCACCAAAACTACAGTTTGACTTAATAGTTGGGAAAGTAATCACGATAAGGAGATTATCCTATAGAGGATAATCTCTGATAATATGAAATATAAATGGCATTGAATTCAAAAGAAAAGTACAGTGAGATTGAATCAAAGATAGTAGTAATCATAAGTTATTTCTGGAGGTCATGACCTCGCACGACATATTTCATACCAATACTCGCATTACTATTATCCCTACATTTGATATTAGGCTATGAGACCAACGGTACGATCAATGAGAAGTGGATCGGTTATGACCGACAAAGCCATATGTCGTGTATATTGACTGACATCAGGGCCACCGTTACAGTCAAACCTCTCAACAAAACATTCATTGGCCACACATTCGCGAACATCACTCCAGACACGTCCCGATCGCAGTTCACTGTTTGCCAGCACTCGGAGTCTATCCCTATATCTCATGTCTACAAATTCAATGCCAACACAACCGGCCATCAAATGAATCTATCCTTTGGTTTTGACATACAGTCGGATCAGTCGGTTATGGTTTTTGTCAAATATTATGAAGTGCTGTGCAATGAAAGCAGGGATTGTCTGCGCGATTATTACCGGACCAAAGACTTTCATCAATTGAAGGCCAGTAACTGTTTGCGTACAACCGGGTCCTACGGTTTGGCCAGTATTGGCACCGGTTTTAGCCGCCAGTGCTTTCATAACAGAAAAACTAGTTTCAAAGACCGGTTATATGTGAACAAGTGAAAGTATTTCAGTCTATTTATGATATAAATATGCATTACTATCACATCGATGTAACCAATATTACCGATACCTTTAACCCCGTTCAATATTGTAACGCCGATAGGGTTTTAGAGACTAGTCTTACGCAAAAACTAACTTTTATCATTAAAAAATTATTAATAATAAACATGTTTTGACAATTTAATTCATAACAAAACTATTGTTTTATAATTTGTTTAATTAAATTAAATTACAAATTATCTGCTGAACAACCTCATTAACTAAATCAGATTAAACTAAACTAGATTAAAATAAAATAATTTATGGTTTTATTTGTAATAACAAAATTAATTAAACATTTAATGATAAGTAATTGTTGAGTTAAAAGTAAAATTGATTTAATATGAGAAAGTATTTTTGAATATTTAAATAAACGTAAAATTAAATGTTTTGCAAATGTAAATTATAATTATTTATAGCCGAACGATCCAATAAACAACATTACTTAATGCGCAATTGTGGTTAAAAATATTATGTAAATTAGTTTAATTATATAAATATATTGTTAAAAACAGGATATATTATTTTAGTATTTATAACATATACATATAGAAACCTTATCAATTGATACTCTTATTGTATCAATTGATAAGGTTTCTAAAGTGTTTTATTTTTTATGGAAACATTTATATGATTATAAACTTAAACTTTACTTTAAAGTTTAAACTTTATTGTGAAGTGTACGTAATATTGCACATAAATACCAACATTTAATATAAATTATAATCACAAACCATACAGCGTATATAATTATATTTTGCATTTTATACATTGTGATCATAAGATAATTATCGAAATAATCGCTATAATCTCTACTAAAAATAATATTAAAATAATGTACACTTGTACTTTATATATTTGTTAATGATACCGCCTGTATTTTAATACATGAATGAATAATATATTCTAATTCATGACGGATCTCTTGGCAAATCAAATCCTCTTTCGGCGTTACAAAAGAAATTTTGAAGAAATCTTATTGATAAGTATGATATATCATATCAAAATGAGATAGCCACACATTAAATATTTCATATTTGTTTGTTAAGAATGTAGTGTACATCGCATTAAATTGAAATCAAATTCTATTTTGTGTTTTCGAGATTAACTCTTGGTCGTATTCAAATTGTTTGCATAATAATATTATGATAATGTGTTGGTTTATCGCATAAATTCTTACGTTAATTCGACAATACTGTAGTAACACATAAGTATAAAAACTTTGAATATTAAACTTTTGATTCAGTAAAAACAAAGTTGGACCAACATTTAATTACCAATTATTAAACATGGCGCAAATGGCGGTATCAGTGGTCAGTAAAACAGATAAGTTGATAAGGCTAGTAAATGGCCTTATGTTAGCCGAATTTGTTACTACAAAAGTTAGAGACCTCTGGATATCCTTAAGTTCGTGGTGGAATGGGGAGTCACCACAAGATTCCTCTTTGATATTAGGAACACCAGACGTGGGCGACGTTATCCATAAAGAAGTCATAAACCGCAGTGGTAGTGATAATTATACTACTACCTATAATGACCCCAATGGGCGGATAATTTCTGGCATAGCCATTACGCCAATATCAGATAATCTCGCCTCGCCAAACAGTCAGATAATGTCCGGTGGCATCGGTAGCAAATCAGTGAAGATACAGTTTGATTCACCAGGCAAGTGCAAATGGGGATGCCAGCTAGTTATCACCGCTTCAAAATAATAAATTTTTAAATCATACAATATATACATTATGATAATTTATAAATGTATTAAGGATTTTAAAATTTATTTGCTGTTTATATTGTATGTTAAAAATTATTTATACGAATTAAAAATTGATATTAAAATTAAATAATATACACATATTTTAATGTGTGACATTTTAAGATGTTGTGGAATTGTGTATAACAATTATACAATCACGCAGTGTATTGATATTTTCCACTTCCCGTTTTGTCAATCAACCAATAATAGATAATCAATATCTATAAAAAGTAAATAAGAATGCTATAAATGTTAGTTATTCTGAATAACTTGGTAATAGATTTTGATCAAGTTATACAATATTGGGTAATTGCAAATAGATATGTTTCTAGTTAAAATACAAAAATATAGAGATGGCTTCAATGTATTATTTAATTAACTGAATAAAAGGAACAATTTGTATTATGTCTGATATTGTGTATGAATGGTTAATTAATAGGGTGAACATAAAAGTGCAAAAACATAGATATTATATTGTAATAAGGGTATATTACTAGTTTTTTTAGCTTAATAGTATACCATTTGTGGTGATAATAAATAAATTACTAATACTAATACTATATAAAAAACTATGAGTGTTCGCCCTATTAATTAACTACGATAACTACGAGTTTAAATAAACATTAGTTTGCCCAGTTTTATTCAGTAAAATTATTTTGTCAATTCAATTTTATGTGATTGCTTAAAAATAAACTATGATTATTGCACGAATGTCATAAATTAATGCTGGTCTAATATGTTAGCATTCTAATAAAATTCCGTTTATTGGGAACTGCATAAACATACAATATATCTTCAGTATTCAAATACTGTTTCTTTACGTATTGTTACTAGTATTAACGATCTCCTACTATATAACAAACACTTTTTACATATATTTACATTTTACAGTATTTGAGTACTGAGGTTATAGTATCTGTCTATGCAGTCCTCAATCAACGGTGAAATTATTCTATAATTAACTACCAATTATTCAGTATACTTATGTTAAAATTAGAATAGAAATTTAATATTATATTTTTATTAAAATTTACAAAATTACGTTTGTTTTATTATCAAATAAATTTAATAATTGGATTGATAGTAAAAATTTTAAATAGATGACTAGATTACTGCAGTGACCGTAATCACACAGCCCCAATCAACATCGCCGGGGGACTCGAGTTCAATCTGTATATAACTTTCACCCACACCACCGGCCAAAACACGAGCGTTAGGAGAATTGATATATTCCGAGAGAGGTAGTACTGCAACGCAGGCTATCACACGTCCCGTCTGATCATTATAACTAGTTATGTAATTGCCCTTGCCATGACGCTTTACTTGTTCTTTATAAATTAAATCGCCCGAGTTGGGAGTTCCCTGTATCAGTGAACATGCTTTCAATGGAGTTGAACGAAACAACCACGTTATTCTGTGCCATATTGTTGTCGGCCAACTGGTACTAGTGTTACCACTTTTGTAGTTCTGGTCAAAATCACGTAAGCCACGTCTATTCATTAAAGACACCTCCATTCGCGATTTATGTCTATAATGATCAATACGAAATATGTATTGTATTGTTCAGACAATTCGTAGTTGAATTGAGAATGATTTTAATAAACTAGAAATTAATAAAATTTAATATTATAAGTATTTATAAGTATGAATAGATACAGTGAAAATCAATTGATTAGTCTGTAAATTTTATCGAATAAGAATATGTTCACATTGGCAAAAAATATTTTTGTAATCTTTTAAGTGTTTCTATAGTGCTTTGTTTTTTAGAAAATTATACTTATAATAAAATATAAATTATAATATAAAGAACTTATTACTTTCAAAGTAAGATAAAACAATATTGTAACTGACATGAAGTATTTTATTTACATTATTAATAATAATCACAAATTCAATTATTAGTTAATTTATATACGTACGTATATATAAATATATAACTATTTGAATATAACAATAAATGTAACTTGGATACCATAATTATTAAGTATTACTTTAAAATAACCTTGATGACATATATCAAACAATTTCTTATTATGAATAACACGGATATACCGGCTAAACATACATTTTTATAAAAATATTTGAAACTTTACAAAAGTTACTTATAAACGCTAAACAAACACTTACTGGTTTATTATTTTGAAAAATAATTAATTTTATTTAAATAATTATAAACAAGAATGTTTAAAGTTACATTCTTACACAATGCCTCACCATACTGTTTACCAAGATTAGGGGTAAATTTTAAAGAATCCTGGTCAATTTGTATTATCACTATATGATCCTGATTGCAAACCTTTTTAACCACAATTTATATTTGAATAATATGATTTATATGATTTCGAGGGTATCCTTACCCTCCCCTAACAATAGTCAAAGGTTATATATCATAATAGTGTAATTTATTTTATTTATAGTAAATTAATGGCACGTGATTATTAAGTTATTTAGGAATAGTTATTAAATAGTGTTGGAGAAATTTAAGAAATTGTAAATCAATTAATGAATCATGGTAAAATAATATTATGTGCATGCCATAAATTTGTATATTATTAGCTGTGATATAATTTAAGTATATTGAGATATTGTTACAAATTATTGGATTAATCATAAATATAATGTTATTAGTAAATAATATTCATTACGAAAAGAATTTATAAAGTTTAAAA